AGGCGATGGTGGGGCCAGTGGTGGTTGTGGCAAAGAAATGTGGTATTGGTGGTTAAAGGCGGTGGTGAAGGTGAAAAACGGTAGGTGGTGGTGATGGTGGTGAAAGGTGGAGGTGGTTGTGGTAAAAAGTAGTGGTAGTTTTTGAACTTGGAACATGATGCTTTTTTTGGGAAGTTGATTTTTAAAAGATATTTACTTGAGAATGGAATTACCATTTCATAGTTTAGTTGTGGAATGAATTTTCATTCTCAATGGATTTTCATTCCAATGTAATGGTCATTTCCAATTTAAATTACATACCAAACAAGAAATCAAACGCAACGTAATTTTTTTTTTTAAATGGAATTAAATTTCATTGGAATTGAAATCCCAAATTATAATGTGCTCGAATCCCATGAAAATTTGTGAAATCTAATGGCATTTGTAAATTACTTTAGTTTTACATTTGTAACCTTACCCAATTGCCATTTTTTTTTTTTAATGTAACATAATATTGCAATTCTAATTAATAAGATTAAAATGATAAAAATAATATTCTTAGGTGCAAACAATTCTTTGAAAGGGATACGAACTAGAAAAGAAAAAAGAAAAGTATTACTTTATAGCTTCAGTTAAAAGATGCTGTTATTGTCATTTTATCAACTTGGTACCCTAAAATTTAAGTTCATTTTTTTCCAATTCTCTCAAGACTTGCAGAAGAAAGATTAACTTATGGTTCTAGCTAGGTATTTGTTTTGTAAACACAATCTAAGAAAAAAATTTAACAAGGTTCTTGTATTTTTATTAAAGATGAAGAGATATTAGTGTAATGATTCCTTTTTCTCTCTTGAATTTATATAATGAATATACACGTGTTATTCAGAATATATATATATATATTACATGTGTTATTCAGGAAAAAAAAAAAAAAAAAAAAAAAATTATACTACATGATATATATATATAAATGCAATCAGTCCTTCTCAGCATGCAACTATACTGGTCAAATAGGAACATGCATAGAAATGAAACCCCAGCGACCCCCGATCCTCCATTACCTGCCGTTAAACCACCTGTAACCACCCTTCCTCCCAGCCCACATCACAAGACCACAAAATCACGCATCCAACACTAAACCAGTTCTCAAGACACCTAATTTGACATCAAAATCTGATAATACTGCAACACCTTTAATCCATGGAAAACCCTCCACTCCCCTCAAACTTCCCGCACCACCCAAACCCCCACTACCTCATAAGAAAGCAGTTTGTAACAATCTTGATGATTATCTTTCTCCACGTCCACCTTCAGTTGCAGGAGCCACTAAGGAGAAGGTCAGGCTTGCTCTGCAAAAAGATAGGTTCTTGAACCCCTCAGGGTTGCAGGTCAACGACGTTGTTCTTCTCCCGGAAGGCATTGATGCGGCCGTTATTGATGCCTCGAATTTTACGCTCATTGAAGAGGTTGCAAAGCTCAGGGTTCTTTTGTAGGAGAATGAGATAGAAATTGCTAAACTACAAGGTATGTTGAAGGAACAGGACACTGGTCCGGCGACGGGGCAGCCATCGGCAGATGTGGTTCCTGGTTTCAAGACTGGTCAAACTGAGCATGTGATGACATCACCAAACCTTGACTGCTTTTCAATTTCAAATTTGGAAGAGAGGGAGACCGGAAAAGACAAACTGAAAAGTAACCTTGCCTCAGCCACCCCACATGCACCCCCTCACCATGCACTGCGCGTACACTCTGCCCCAACCATCATAGGGTCAACTCCAAGCGCAAGTCAAAACCCTGTTGAGACCACCCCACTAAATCCTAATTAACCAAGTCGGATTCCAACTATCCAAGGGCAATCAACCTCGTCACCCCAACTACACTCTACTATTATACACCAAATAAACATTATCCCAAACTAACAGTCTGAACAACCAAATCAGCCACCAATCACCCATGATCATGCCCACAGAATTGATGATCATTTTTCCACCTTGGTAATTCCTCAAATCAATGATCAATTCAACCGTAGTGAGAACAAGCAGCACCCAAGTTAGGCTGACATTGCTCAGTCCTCTACCACAAGTTGGGATCTTCAATACCATGAACCCTCATTCAATGATGACGCTGTGTTGGTGGAACCACCTACGATGCCATGAATGATGGAGTGCAGTACTGGCAAAGCTGTATCCTTGGCTCGTTCCAGAGAAGAATTCCATTTAAAACTGTCTCAGCAGCTGCAAGCAAGCTTTGGAAAAGCAGGGGACTCAGGCAAGTTGTTGCAAACACAAAAGGTACATTCTTTTTCTGTTTTGACTGCAAGGAGAGCTGCTTAAGAATTATTGCAGGAGGAGAATGGTTCTTGGCAGGTAAACCAGTAGCTCTTAGATTGTGGGATCATGAGAAACCAAATTCCACTTGCACACCAAACACAACGGCAATATGGATTAAATTGTTCAATGTGCCTTTTGAGTACTGGTCTTCAAAAGGTCTAAGCTATCTGGGAAGTGCAGTGGGAAAGCCACTATTTGCTGATGAGAACACCATAAATAGGAGTAGACTTGACTATGCCAAAATTTATGTTGAGATCTCTCCCAACTCACTATTACCATCCACATTCCAAGTTAAATTGGGGGACAGTTGGGAAACTATGAGAATTCAATACCCATGGATTCCTCAAAAGTGTCTCACTTGCTTAGCTTTTGGACAGAACAAAGATTCTTGTAGTGCTGGTCAGATGTCTAACTGCAACCCACATAAATCCAAAGACTCTAATGACTGGCAGTTAGTTACAAAGTGCAAGGGAAGAGCTGTTTGTAGACCAATTCCCAACCCATTCTCCACCATAAATCCACAGCGGCAGAAGGAAGTTGCATCCACATCAAACCTGTGTGAACCATTAGTCCCTCCCCCTACCCTGGTAAAGGCAGACATACCCACAACTACAATCAACCAATTACCGTCAATCACTATACCTATTGCTGGTCCACCTATTGGTTATAAAACCTCAAATACTTCTGCAGCCAATACAAAAGCAATTAACTTTGTTATTGATCTCACTCCCTCAAACTTAAAGACCGGTAGGAAAAAGGCTGTCACAACCTCTCCTATTTCAATCTCCAACCAATTTGATGCGCTGCCGGTGGAGAACTTGAATGAAGACAATGAGTACTCAGTGGAACTAGCATCTTCACCTGAGGAAGAAACTGTGTCTAGCACAAATGATCCAGCCTTTTCTCCTGCAGTTGAAAGGCTCCTTAAGCCAAGGAAACCCACTCATTCAAAGCACTCAAAAATTGAAAAAAGGGTAAGAGTAGCAAAAGGTTTGACCACCCTTAAGGGGTTTAGAGGTATGTGTTCACTCAAAACTTCATCCCAATGATTTGGGGAGCATGGAACATAAGAGGGCTCAACTCTCCCCTCAAACAAGAAGAGATTTGTCATCTCATTAAAGATAATGGTCTGAGTCTAATGGCAGTGTTTGAAACCAAGGTCAACAGTGGGAATGTTGTATCAATTCATAGGAGGATTGCTCCCAGCTGGCAGCTAAAGTGTAACTACTCATCTTCTGTGTTGGGAAGGGTGTGGATTATGTGGGATTCTCTTAAGTTGGATATTATGGCATCCAATGAATGCAACCAGGCTATCACTTGTTCTATATTTCTCAAGGACCTGAAAGTGAATTGTAGAGCTTCTTTCATCTATGCTGCTAACACTACAGTAGATAGAAGAGCATTATGGAGGAACCTGAACCACAATTCAACCTCAACTGAACCTTGAATACTACTTGGTGACTTCAATGTTCTCCTACATGCTAATGATTCCTTTGGGGGTGCTCTTAGGTGGACTACTGGTATGACTGGGTTCAAAGAGTTCCTGACTTTAAATGGCCTCAAGGACCTAAGGTACAATGGTATATTCCACACTTGGTCTAATGGAAGTTTTGGGTGTGCAAATATCTCTAGGAAATTAGACAGAGTTCTAATCAACCAACCTTAGATGGCTAAATTTACACAAGCAGAATGCCACTTCGTACCACATGGAATCTCAGACCACTCTCCTATGGTGGTCAAATTTGGTTCACTAGCCCCTAAAAGGAACCTCCCCTTCAGGTTTTTCAATTTCTGGGCATTGAATCCTAGCTTCTCAACAATTGTATCACAAGCTTGGCAAATGGAGGTGCATGGTTCAAGAATGTTTAGGTTGGTTTAGAAGTTGAGAGCTTTAAAACATTAACCACTTAAGCAGTTAAATAAAAAGGAGTTCAGTGCAATCACAAGGAGGGTAGCTGCTACTAAAGAGGACCTGTCCCTTTGCCAGAGAAACTTTGATTCTAACCCATCAGATGATGCACTCAGGCTCAGGGAAAAGGAGCTATCACAGAAATTCACTGAGCTTTTACTGGCTGAGGAGACGTTCTTCAAGCAAAAATCTCAAGTGCATTGGCTTAGGGAAGGAAACCAAAATACCACTTTCTTCATGAAACGCTTCAACTCCAAAGCCAACAGGAGGAAGGTACATTCAATTACTGATCCAAATGGAAATCAAATACAAGGTCAGGACCTTAAGAATGAGCTGCTCAACCATTTTCAAAGCATCCTTGGCCAATGCAGCTTCAATTATCCAGGTATGGCTTCATTTTCAACAGTTATCACAAAAATTATACCATCAAACCTGCTGTCTTCCCTAACAGTAATCCCCACTGACCAAGAGATACAGGCTTGTATTCTCTCATTCCATCCCTACAAGACACTACAACAAAAGTGGGTTTTTAAGACCAAGTATTTACGAGGATCTCTTATTTTGCCTCATAGAAGCTACTTTTTACGAGGCTTATAAGATGCTACTTGTAATTGTGACCTTTTAGGTTACACTTTCACAAGTGTTAATTAGAATCCTCGTAAATAATGTTTTTACGGGAGGTTAAAGATCCCTTTATTGTTTACATATATTAACAAGGGAATTTTCCCACTTTAACGGGAGAAAAATTTCTTTGTCTATAATAGAACTTTTAAGGCACACTTTTTGTCCCGTGAATAAGCAAAAATATTTGCCGCTTGCCATCTCCCAAAATTTCCCACTCCCACGCCACTCACACTCAACTAGAGCCACTTAGAATATATATATATAAATAAATAACTAAAAATAAATTCACTCTTTCTCATTTCCGGACGAAACCCCTCTCTCTCATGCCCAGGAAACCACCGCTCAAACATTCCAACCTACTTGGTTTCTCAATTTTTACTGATTTCTTTTGTCTCCACCAAAGCCCTAATTTCATTGCCCTAGTTCTTAATCTTTGAGGGTGCATTCATCAAACAAATCAAAGCCCTAGTTATTAATCTTTGAGAGTTCATTCATCAAACAAATCAAAGCCATAATCCTTAAACTTTGGTTGATTATTTCATTTCAGATTAAAGGTGCGAAAGAGGATTTCATTGCCCTAACTCTAGGCAAGTTTCAGATAAAAGGTGCGAAAGAGGATTTCATTGCCCTAATCCCATCCTTCGTTCCTGCAGCAGTATCCGATCGTTTCTCGCCACCGTCGACCTCTCGGGGGAGATAACCGTTCACTGTCGGGTAAGTACTATTATTTTTTGTCTACTCTCAGTTGTTCATCAGTTGCCAGTTAATTAATTTAGGACATGTTTATAATTTTCTGATGCGAATTGATCTACTTTGAGTGTTTATTGTTTGATTTGGAGAGTTTTGTGGTTAGTTAAGATTTATTAGGTATGTGGGTTTCTCCTGCCCGATGAGCTTCCCTGCAGATTCCGGCAGCCCATATTCATCTTTTTCGGCCGCGGTTGGCCAGAATTTCTTACAGTCCATCTCAATCTCTCTCTTCGTTCCTCTTCTCTCACTATTGTGATCTCGGGTATGTACCTAATTTGTTTTCAATTTTTAAATTTTCATTTTATTTTATTTATTTTATTTTATTTATTATTATTTTTTTAGTCATTTTATGTATATATCTCTGCCTCTTATTTAATCGAAAATGGAAAATGAAAAGTAGAGCATAATGAAATGAAATGAAATTAGGACTTGATTTTGGGACTTAGTTGTTGTATGAACTGTGATATGGAACGGAGGATGGGCATTATTGTGGATTTGTGGGCTGTGTCCCTGTTGATTTTGTTGATAGAGGAGTATGAGCTAGCTTTGGTTTTGTTGGGGCAGTTGTTGTGCTATTGCATGGAGAATAGGCAAAAATCTGAACTGGAGTTTATTGAGAATTGTTGTGATTAATTTGGGACTATGATTATATATATGTGTATTGCCTTGTGGTTTCAGATTTTGATAGTTAAACTTTAAACTATGATGCATGTATATAAGTTTTAAGTTTGAAATTGAAAAATGAACTGTAATGCATAATATTGAAATGTGATGATAAAATTCTTTCAAACTCTTTTCAATATGTGCATGTGTTGTTAGAAGTTGGAATTTGTGACAAACAAACTTGTTAAAATCTATGCAGAAGTGGCTCCAACGTTTGGTTGTTAGGTTTGGAGGGACTGTGGTTTGCATTCAACCCTCCCTCACAGGTGTCCCAATATGTGTAGAATGGGTTACCCATCTCTTTTCTTACTTTCCTATTTTTATATATGATATTTCTTAATAATTTTATGCAATTTTTTTTAATTTAATTTTTCTTGTACTTGTCAAAAAAAAAAATTCTGGTTTATTATTGTGTATAAAATTGTGTTGGCATATAAATACTTTTTAATTAATTCGATTATGTATATATTTTGATTAAATTTGTAGTTTTTACATAATTACATTGGATTGTTATTGTGTGTATTAATGGGTGCTTGTAATAAGACTAAATGGCTCAATTGATTTACTTTTAAAATTCAAGACTTGTGTTTCTTAAAGGACTTTTTATCTTGAAGTGTTTACTTTGCTGTGAGTATATTTGGTACAAATGTACAGATCAAACCTTTGGCATTATTTGTACAAAAGGGTTGCCTGCTTTGCACATGATCATTCACAGCACCGGCCTTTATATCGCACCAAGCAATGGCCCTTTTGTAGTGAACATTATTAATATATTTTCTTAATTCAGAGTCAACTGTTCATAAACTAGGAAAGGAAGTCTACAACATTAATTCTGAGCGAAAAAGTTTACAACATTGTATACTAATATTCTGGTTGCTGTTTTTATTATCTAGATGAGTTTAATTTATTTCAACAGATTATTTTCATAAAATTGAAATTTCACACCTAGATAAGTGTTTACATTGCTCCGCTCCCATACACTCTCTCCTGTCCCTTGTATTATCCAAAAAGTTTTTTACTCCATTTAAACAGATTCAGATTAATAGTCACAGAAAACACATTGCCATTATCGTATTGAAATTATTATCTAATCCACATCCTATCCAAAGAGTTGTGGCTTTTAGTTGGCCAATTGAAAAGATGAAATGGACTTTTACCCTAAGAAATCACACCTTCCAGAATTTGGGAGGATTAGATCTCTTTACTACTTGTTCAATGGGAGAAGGCATTCTATCCAAGGTTCAGCTAAATATAATGAATAATGATAATTCTAAGAGATGCTCAGAATGATTGATTAAGGTTGTCTTTTCCCATTCGGACATGCATTAATTTGAAATCTGGTAGCCAAAAGTATTGAAGATGTAAATATTTGCAAAATTAATGGTCATTTTAAATTCTTTTGCTATTATTTGAGACCAGAATATCCTGGTTGTCTCTCAGTACCTGTAGACTGCTTTAATTTGAGTTTTTGTTTCTTTTATTTTGAACTAAAATTGACTTTTGTGCAGCTTATATGTATGGATTTTTCAAGAACAAGCGCATTGTCCTTTATGACGCATTGATTCAGCAAGTGTGGATGCATATTGTATTTGAAAAAAATTATGCTCATTTCCCTATACTTTGTTCATTAAGCTTGAATTGCTGAACTACTTGTGCATATTCTACAAGTAAAGCATGTTTTTCACCTACTTTACCATCAACGCATTTATTTAATTTTGATGTGTGTTTGAGCCAAAAAAGGAAAATGAAAAACCATGTCTAAGGATCATCTCCCCCCTCCCCCCCTCTCTTACACACTCACACGCGCGCGCGCACACACACACAAAAAGAAAACCATTTTTTTGCATCTTGTCTTGAATTTATGTAGTGGTTGATTTGTATATTAAAATGACACAACTACTACTTCAACTGGCACTCCTGTTGTAGCATCAGTATTAAGTTTTTGTATCAGCCCTGTAGTGCAATGAACAAGCACAATTCTTCCCCTGTTAGTTTTTCCATAAACAAATGTAAATTGAAACCTTTGTTTGGCCATTATATATGTCTGATTTTTCTTCTTGCTTTGCTTCTGGAAGATGTAAGAGCCACATTTCTAAACAAGTTCTACAGCTTTTTAAGACTGGGACAAGTTTGGTGTCTTAAAACATGGAGTAACATCCTTTGAGTTCAAGAGTTTCTTGTAAATTTTTAGGTTAATTCCCCATTTTTGTTTTGTTTGGATTAGGACTGGTTGAGTTTTTTTTTTTTTTTTAAATGTATTATAAAGATATGTTCCTCTTCTTCTTTTCTATTTTTCTACTTCCATTAGCAATGCCATGTGCTTATTGAACATAATTTAACTTGTATATACGGTATACCTTGTTCGCTAGTCAGAAAATAACTTCTATGTATAATTAAACATGACAAAATGGCTTGGATATGTGGTTTCCATGTAGTTGATTTTGTTGGGAATATTTTGTTTAATGAGGTTTAGTTCTGATGACCATATAAATCTTAAAATGATTATATTTTAATGCTAATACGTGCTCAACATGATTATTTAAGTTGAATAATTTTGTTCAACTTTGCTTGCTAAATTTTGCAACAAGATTTCTCTTTTCTAATTTATTATATTGTAAACAATTTTAGGGGATGAAGTAATTTGAGTTTTTTGGTAACCTGCACTTGTCTTAAGCTAGTGTGAGGTAACCCAAAAAACTAAAGTATTCTTACTAGAGAGCACAGCTCCTGTAATGTTCCTTTGCTATGTAGCAGTAGCTTCATCATTTGATATTGAAGATCCCGGCAAATTAGGCATCTATATCTTCAGTTCTTGGGCAGTGCATGAATTTTGGGCATCATGGGAGTTGTTGGATGTTCTTTTATAGGAAATTAGATTGCATACACTGATGCTGTCATTTATTGGTTGAAATAGTGTTATACTTCACAATGCTATAGTTTGGGATCCTTACATATGTGATATTACGAATTGGTGCCTTAAGTGGTAATTCCTCAACTCCCCCCAACACCCCACCACCACCACAATGGGAGTGTGTGTGCAAGTTTTAATCTTAAACAGAATCCCCACCCAAAAAGGGAAAGAAAAAAAGCAAAAAAAAAAAAAAAAAAGAACGAATTCATATGTGAAGTCATGTGGATACAGATTTTTTAGGCCTTGCAGCCACGTTTCTTGAAGTGTCTTTTCTTTTCTTTTTTCCTTTTCTGTTTTCTCAATTATTCTTCTTTCAGTTGACAAAGTGATTTAATGCAGTGCAAAAATGAGGAGGAAGTAGTTACTGTTATTGCACATGAACTGGGTCATTGGAAGCTTAATCATACAATGTACTCTTTCATTGCTGTTCAGGTATGCTTTAATTATTCTCTTTGAATGTCCCATGATACCCTGCTAGTTATATATATCATCGTTACATATGTATGGGTACTGGTGTCAGATGTCATTAGTTTATAAGTTTTTTTTGTAATTGGAGCTAGTGTTTTTAAAGGCATTGGAAATTGTGAAGTCACGCCTGGTTTCTTGTCTTGAGAAGAGGGTCAATGAAAATTTGAGGCATGGCATCTTTTTTGTAATTGGAGCCAGTGTTTTTAAAGGCATTGGAAATTGTGAAGTCACGCCTGGTTTCTTGTCTTGAGAAGAGGGTCAATGAAAATTTGAGGCATGGCATCGTGACTCCATGAACATGGTTTCAAATTTGTGATTCATGAAGTTTTCTCCGAGACTAATTAAATTTAGTAAATATAAGATAAAAATGTTGGGAATGTGTTGGGTGGAGGAAAATTAATTATGTTGTCTAGTGTGGAGGATTTTGTTATCATTTTGCAATTATTATAAAATGTTTTTCTTTAATAATATATTGAATCAGAGAAAACTCTCGGAAGCCTTTTTTTTTCTTTTCTTTTTCTGGTAAGTAGAAAACTCTAACCATGTAATTACCTTAAAAATTCACCCTAACTAATATTCTAGAACTTAAATTTGATTACTAGAAGCTTTGAAATTTAACTAAAAAATCGAAAAAGAAAATATATCAAATAACTTTAACTAATTTATATATATTTTCATATTCAGTCACTTCTGATTGGAAGAAACTTATCCTCTAGTTTAATCCTTTCTTTACAATGAAAAAACTGTTTGGAATATTTTTAAGTTTTAACGACTTCAACTTTTACCCAAATTTGTTCTCCATGAATTGGAATTTCCTTGTCTTCCATTGACTAAATCATTATGAAATACTATTAAAATTTTCAACATAAAACAGTTTTGTAACTGATTCTTTAATGCAATATTAGTCAAGGAATCATTTACTTGATCCTAGGATTTGGAAAATATTGACTTGGATTAATTTTTAAGGACTTTTGATGAATCTGGTGATCAATTTTAATGACTCTGACTTGAATAATCTTCGCGGTATTCTTGTTGGTCAACTTTGTTTATAAAATATGCTAGAGATAATAGGATGTCTAGTTTTGAAAAAATGACATGAAAAACCAATCTATAAGAAGTCATTGACATAAAAGTTAGTAATACCCAGTTGAGAAAAGTAACTAAATAGAGATATAAAATGCATATTTCTCTTCTACTGTTCACAAACCATATTTAACAACCTACTTTAAACATAAGTCTTAAATAAGTACTTAACAAGACTTGCTTTTCTTGTATGTCGTTAATATTACAAGTCGTAAAAAATTAATTTTCTTGTAGTGTAATAGTACTTTTTCAGTCATTATATTATTACATACTAACGGTGGAGTGCATGCATGTTTGGAATTTAGGATAAATGTATTTTGTGTGTGTGTAGAGAGAGAGCATTTTTTTAGATAAGATTAGTAGATGTGGTAACCAGCTTCAAAACTTTTCATTCAAATTTTTCAGTTTTTGTTTCGAGAAGTAGAGAGAGAGATTCTATCTTGAATATGTAATGCGATGGTTGAACATCACGCAATGTTCTTCTAACTTTTACTACAAATTGAAGACAAACAAACATTTAAAATTACTAGAACACTTTTATATAAAATCTTGTAAAGGGAAATTAAAAATAAAAATTAACTTACCACCTACGGCGATCATGTTAGATGACATTTCTTCTGCTGAATCTAAAATAAAGGAATTAATAAAAAAAACATGGTTTATAACTAAATGACGTACGAGTAAATAATTCCAAATATTTAATTCCTCAAGGTGTAAAACTACTGCTACATACAACTCTTAAATCTTAAAAAAAAAAATATTTTGTTTCTTCCAATCAGAAGTGACTGAATATGAAAATATATATAAATTAGTTAAAGTTATTTGATATATTGCCTTTGAATGGATGGTTTAGCTTTTGAATATTTTGTTTGTAGCAATTACAAATTTTGTTTTGGTTGTAATTTCTTTGATATTGGTCTTCCCCGTCTGGGGCTCACTATAAATCCTTCAACCTTATATACAAGCTTATCTTAAAAAAAAAAAAAAAAAAAAACTGGTCAAACATCTTTCTACTGCCCAAATTAGTGTCCACAGAGATCAACAATATATGCAGGAATTTTTGAATTTTCTTTAGGCTGGTTCCGTTTCTTCCTGGAGTCATCTTGTTTGGATTTCAATATCAAGTCCTCGCCATAAGTTCGTACTATGGTTAGGCCATCTCCAGCGGGCTAGCTTAAGCCCATTTCCAGCGAGCCAAATGGACTATTCCTTCTCCAGCGGGCTAGCTAAAGTGAATGGGCCAGTAGCGATCGGGGGCCGACTCGCGATATTAAGCGAGCCGGCTCGCGATCGCTGCCCATTTTTTTTTTTGTTTTTTCTACTTTAAAAACGGCGTCGTATTGGCTGCCTATTTTGTCTCATCTGCATAATGGTGGAACACATAATTATTTTTTTAAAAAAAAAAAAAAAAAAGCTAAAAATAGGTTCTTTTGAGCTTTTTTTAGGAAAAAAAAAAATTAAAACAAAATTCATTAAATAAAAATATATATTATTTAGGCATTGTTTGTCCAAAAAAAAAAAAATTTTGGCCCAAAAATAAATTAAAAAACCTATATTTTTTTTTTTTTTGTTTTTTCCCTTAAAATTTGTTTTTTTTTTTTTTTTGAAAATTTTTTTGCTTTAAATTTTAAATGTAAGGCCAAATAGTGTATTTGGCCATTAAGGCACTATTTCTACAGTACCAAATAGTGCCTTAACGGCTATAATTTTAAAAAAAAAATTTTAAAAATTCAAATTTTACCCTTTTTTTTTTGTTTTTTCCCTTAAAATTTGATTTTTTATTAATTTTTTTGCTTTAAATTTTAAACGTGTAGGCCAAATAGTGTATGTGGCCGTTAAGGCACTGTTTCTACAGTACCAAATAGTGCCTTAACGGCTATAATTTTAAAAAAAAGTTTAAAAATTCAAATTTTTTAACTTTATTCAAAAAAAATAAATAAATTAAAATTTTTAAAATCTCTAGAAATACCCCAATTCCTACCATCACTCATCACATCTCTATTATCTACCATTCAACTTATTTCTTCTTCTATTTTCTCAATCTTAGCTATTATTTTCAAAGTCATTTCGATTCCATGGATCCTCGACATCCATATCATTACAACACCTAATTCAATCCATCAAACGATGAGTTTTTGCCATTTCCTGAAGAGAATATCAATTATTATGAAGGAGATTCTCAATTTCCTTCTCGTCAACCATCCCAACCTTCTTATCAACCATCCCAAACTTCTCATCAATATTGTGGTACTAGTGTTCCACAATCAAGTAACTCAAAACCCCCGTCAAAACAACCAGCTACTCGACATAATAATTGGACCAAGGCTGAAGATGAAGCTTTATGCTGGGCGTGGTTGTCCATTACCTCTGATGCGATTACGGGGGCAGACCAAAGTAAGCAGAAGTTATGGGAGCGAATTCTGGAACAATATAAACAACATATTGGTGTTCCAACTGAGCGAAATGATGAAGGTTTGATGAATCGTTGGTCAGTGATACAACAAAAAATCAGCAAATTTTCCAGCTGCATGACTACCATAGAAATGAATCGTCCCAGCGGCTTCAGCAGTGATGATATGGTGAGTTATTTATTGTTTAAATATAACTCGTAAATATTTTAAATAGTCAGCTTTTAATTTTTTGTTATTTTTTTTGTGTAGATGATAGCAGCTAAAGACCTGTTTTGTAGCCAAACAGGTGGTGAATTTAAGTTAGAAAGTTAATGGGAGATCTTGAAGCATAACAATAAATGGAATTAACATTGTGCCGAACAAGTAGGAAAAGGAAAAAAGAAAAAAGAGACGAAGAAGAGGAGTGGATTTGACTTTGACATTAATGAGTCTGTTGGGCACTCATTACCATCTACTCCGTCAAGTCATGAAGCCACGACAGATGGAGCTTCAACTGAAGAATCACCACACGTAGGGGAAAATGATTCACCCTGTGTGGAAGAATATCAACTACAAAGACCAGCAAGAAGAAAAGCGGCGAAGCAGCGTCGAGCAAAAATTAATTCAGCGAATGAATTGCAAATTTCATTCGTTTCGAAATTTAATAATATCACCACCCGTTTTGAGAGTCTTCAGGAAAAAATGCAAGATGCCTAAGTGGCACGAGAGGTAAGAAAAATGGAAAAAGAGAAGACAAGGCAGCTAGAGATTAAAGAGAAACAGGGACTTGAAGAGAAGGAGCTTAAGTTAACAAATCCAAATTCGGCACCAACAGAAGCAGAAAAAGCTTGGATTATTGCACGACAAAATGAGATATTGGAAAAGCTTGGAAAAGCTTGAATTCACAGTCCGCCCCAAAGTTCCCATAGGATTTTGTAATCCTTGGTCTATTTATTTTCTTATTTCAATTTAGGATATTGTATTATTTAAGTTATTTTTAATTATTTTGTTTTTTTTTTTTTTTTTAATCCATAATGGATAATGTATTGTTTTAAGTTTTAATATCAATCGTAGTTTTTTTAATAATTTACAAAAATATTGTTTGATTGAAAAATATTGCCGTTGAGAAAATATTGCCTTTTAGGAAAAGTTTAAAAAAAAAATTTTAATTTTAATTTTTTATTATTATTTTTTTTAAGAGCGAAAATTCGGAGAGTTTGATGAAGTGAATGTTTTTGAACTTAAAACTGCTAATGTGGCTCTTAAAAAAGTTGATGTGGCGTTTTTAAAGAGGCAAAATTCGAAGAGGCCGGTGCAGATGGCCTTAGCAAATAAAAAATAGGCTCTTTACCTTTCACAGAAGCGCATTGTTAAAGAGTCATTTCCCGTATCATTGTACCTTATATTGTTCCTCAAACGAGACTCTGAACCACTTGTTCTTCTCGTGTGAATTCATTTTCCCAATTTGGAACTACACACAGAGTATTTGTGGATTTCACATCAACCCTTCTTCATCGAATGCCCCATTTATCTGGGCAGCTCACCATTGGCAATCAAGTTCCATTTCGAACTCTATAAGCAAATTGGCCATCTCAGCTGCCGTCTACCATATCTGGATGGAAAATAAATTGTCTGATCTTTAGGGGCTCTCTCAAAACTCAACACATGCTTCAATTTGAGATTCGCAAGGCCATCAGAGAATGATTGCTATCTTCCTCCTTCAAAAATGGTCTAGCCGCTCAGCGTGCCCGTCGCGCTTAGGATCTACAGCCATCTTGCATCAGGGCCTTCACCGCGTCCGCCGGCTAACCAGTCTCAGAGCAAATTCATCCATTTACAGGAATGAGGACGTTCCATCAACAACACCGGATTGGCTCTTCAGAAGAGTTGGGGCTTTCGGATCTAATGCCATATGTATTGGTTCTTGAAATAAAAATTGGGCTTTCAGCCAATCTTTTGTTCATGTTAGGCATTTTAGCCCACTCCACTCATTAAGACCCCTATAAATATCGTCTTATATATATATATTGTTTAACCATTCGAACAAACGAAAAAATAAATAAAATAAAAAAATTCGATTCCAACTCACTATTTTTGGAGCCATTAATCGGTGTTTTGGAAAAGATTTGGGAGGCGAGTTATAGCTTGAGTTTTTTATTATTATTTTATAATTAATCGATTTATTACTTGAGTTTTTTTGTTATTACTTTATAATTAATCGATTTATTAAAAATGAAACCAAAAACAAAACATCCTAAGCATACCCAATCAAGGCCTAACAAAGCAGAGAAACCACTCAAAAAGGAAGGTGAATTCCTATGGAATCTAGAACAAGGAATAGATAAACCCTACTTGAGTTGGTTCCGTTTAAACCCCATTGCCTATATATATTTCCCTTAACCCTACTGCCTATATATAGGTGTGAGTTGCTTGAAGAATCAGAATTATGATGGAAAACGCACAGCCACGCATGAAGAAGAGAAAGGTAAATAAAGGGGTGTTTGGGGTTTCAGTTCCACGAGAGATAATCTGGGAGATACTGAAAGAACTTCCTGTGAAAACCTTACTGAGACTCGGGTGTGTTTCCAGGCAGTGGCGCTCCATAATTGACGACGATCCACTCTTCGTTGAGTCGCACCATAATCGGTCCATCACTCGGCCCGACGGCATCAACCTTCTGTTCCTGACAAAAAGAGATTGGAATTGGCAACTCTACTCCCCAGATCCAAAAGGCGGCCCAGCCCTTCACCTTCTATCTGTTCCCATCAATCTAGACGGGGAATTTCCTTTGTATTCCGTCAACGGCTTGATCTGTTTTGGGAACTGCATATGGAACCCTAGCACCAAACAACGCATAGCAGTTCCAGGCGCTAGGATAAGGAGTCCAACTATTGAGATGCGAGGAGAAAATCTATTGATGGTAAAATCCTTGTACCTTCTAGGGTTTGATCCTTCCAGTGGAAAACACAAAGTACTCAACATTAACCAAATTACATCTCAAGACGAAGGTGATGAGGAGGCCCAAACTCAGTTCAAGGTTTTGACTCTCAGTCGCGGCGGCGCCTCCACCACATGGAGAGAATGGAGAGATATTGATGTTGATAGTGATACTGATGATTCTACTGTTGCATTCATGGCGGCAAATAGCTACTATTCACCTGGATCCGGCCCCCCTAAAACAGCCTGTTGTATCAATGGTATTATATATTGCCTAGGATATACGTTCCCCCTAAAACAGCATGTGATACTGGCTTTCGAAGTTGGACCTGAGAGTTTCAAAATTATGCCACTTCCCAAAGGAGCCAAATCAATTTCTTTTTTTACAGTCGAAGTAGGAGGAGGACGTCTGGCTTTGATAAATCATGAGGTGACCAAAATTTGGATACTAGAAGACTATGACAAGCAACTCTGGAACATGCATACACTCGAAGTCAATGGCAAAAGAAAAAGAAGTCCAATACCAATTGGTAGTACTGGTGGTGGTGATCTTTTATTTCATGATTTCAAATCAATGTTTTTCTATTATGATATTGAAAGTAAAAGAATGAGGAGGAAGGACTACTCCGACCTAAAATTACAAGGAAATATGGCATCAGGGTCCGTCTTCATCAAGCATGTGGAAACCTTATTTTGATTGATCACTGCAACACCTTTTATCCATAATAGGTTTTTATTTTGGTTTTATAGTAATTCTTTTTTTGAAGTTTTGGAACATCCAAGAAATTTATTTGCAACATCAATTTTCCTGATGGATTTATTTATTTTTGTTGGTACAAGTCTTTAATATAAGTGATTCATTTTGGCTTTTAGATCTCTATTAATTGCTCTAGAAGGCAATTCAAAATTGATCCCATCCATTATAGAACATGTGGATTTTTGTATAGATGTATATATCAATGCCTAGATATAACATCATTATGTGGACTTTTGTATGGCTCAAAAAAAAAAAATAAAGGAACTATGTAAATTTTATTTTTCTCAACTTAAAAAAGGCGATTCGGTACCTATTTTAATTATTGCTCCCCCTGCAACAATACTATTTGTACGTATTCTGATAAAATTCACAAAAATCAGTTTGTTTTATCAATGATACTGTGTATTGTCTAGGTACGATTGGCAACTCAAACCAATCTGTCCGAGAGAATTAGATTTTGGTTTCAACTGTCAAGGATGCTTGCAATTGTAATTCGTGACATTTCTTCTGCTGAATCTAAAATAAAGGAATTAATAAAAAAAACATGGTTTATAACTAAATGACGTACGAGTAAATAATTCCAAATATTTAGTTCCTCAAGGTGTAAAACTACTGCTACATACAACTCTTAAATCTTAAAAAAAAAAATATTTTGTTTCTTCCAATCAGAAGTGACTGAATATGAAAATATATATAAATTAGTTAAAGTTATTTGATATATTGCCTTTGAATGGATGGTTTAGCTTTTGAATATTTTGTTTGTAGCAATTACAAATTTTGTTTTGGTTGTAATTTCTTTGATATTGGTCTTCCCCGTCTGGGGCTCACTATAAATCCTTCAACCTTATATACAAGCTTATCTTTTAAAAAAAAAAAAAAAACTGGTCAAACATCTTTCTACTGCCCAAATTAGTGTCCACAGAGATCAACAATATATGCATGAATTTTTGAATTTTCTTTAGGCTGGTTCCGTTTCTTCCTGGAGTCATCTTGTTTGGATTTCAATATCAAGTCCTCGCCATAAGTTCGTACTATGGTTAGGCCATCTCCAGCGGGCTAGCTTAAGCCCATTTCCAGCGAGCCAAATGGACTATTCCTTCTCCAGCGGGCTAGCTAAAGTGAATGGGCCAGTAGCGATCGGGGGCCGACTCGCGATATTAAGCGAGCCGGCTCGCGATCGCTGCCCATTTTTTTTTTTGTTTTTTCGGCTTTAAAAACGGCGTCGTATTGGCTGCCTATTTTGTCTCATCTGCATAATGGTGGAACACATAATTATTTTAAAAAAAAAAAAAAAAAAGCTAAAAATAGGTTCTTTTGAGCTTTTTTTAGGAAAAAAAAAAATTAAAACAAAATTCATTAAATAAAAATATATATTATTTAGGCATTGTTTGTCCAAAAAAAAAAAAAATTTGGCCCAAAAATAAATTAAAAAACCTATTTTTTTTTTTTTTTTGTTTTTTCCCTTAAAATTTGTTTTTTTTTTTTTTTTGAAAATTTTTTTGCTTTAAATTTTAAATGTAAGGCCAAATAGTGTATTTGGCCATTAAGGCACTATTTCTACAGTACCAAATAGTGCCTTAACGGCTATAATTTAAAAAAAAAAAGTTTAAAAATTCAAATTTTACCCTTTTTTTTTTGTTTTTTCCCTTAAAATTTGATTTTTTATTAATTTTTTTGCTTTAAATTTTAAACGTGTAGGCCAAATAGTGTATGTGGCCGTTAAGGCACTGTTTCTACAGTACCAAATAGTGCCTTAACGGCTATAATTTTAAAAAAAAGTTTAAAAATTCAAATTTTTTAACTTTATTCAAAAAAAATAAATAAATTAAAATTTTTAAAATCTCTAGAAATACCCCAATTCCTACCATCACTCATCACATCTCTATTATCTACCATTCAACTTATTTCTTCTTCTATTTTCTCAATCTTAGCTATTATTTTCAAAGTCATTTCGATTCCATGGATCCTCGACATCCATATCATTACAACACCTAATTCAATCCATCAAACGATGAGTTTTTGCCATTTCCTGAAGAGAATATCAATTATTATGAAGGAGATTCTCAATTTCCTTCTCGTCAACCATCCCAACCTTCTTATCAACCATCCCAAACTTCTCATCAATATTGTGGTACTAGTGTTCCACAATCAAGTAACTCAAAACCCCCGTCAAAACAACCAGCTACTCGACATAATAATTGGACCAAGGCTGAAGATGAAGCTTTATGCTGGGCGTGGTTGTCCATTACCTCTGATGCGATTACGGAGGCAGACCAAAGTAAGCAGAAGTTATGGGAGCGAATTCTGGAACAATATAAACAACATATTGGTGTTCCAACTGAGCGAAATGATGAAGGTTTGATGAATCGTTGGTCAGTGATACAACAAAAAATCAGCAAATTTTCCAGCTGCATGACTACCATAGAAATGAATCGTCCCAGCGGCTTCAGCAGTGATGATATGGTGAGTTATTTATTGTTTAAATATAACTCGTAAATATTTTAAATAGTCAGCTTTTAATTTTTTGTTATTTTTTTTGTGTAGATGATAGCAGCTAAAGACCTGTTTTGTAGCCAAACAGGTGGTGAATTTAAGTTAGAAAGTTAATGGGAGATCTTGAAGCATAACAATAAATGGAATTAACATTGTGCCGAACAAGTAGGAAAAGGAAAAAAGAAAAAAGAGACGAAGAAGAGGAGTGGATTTGACTTTGACATTAATGAGTCTGTTGGGCACTCATTACCATCTACTCCGTCAAGTCATGAAGCCACGACAGATGGAGCTTCAACTGAAGAATCACCACACGTAGGGGAAAATGATTCACCCTGTGTGGAAGAATATCAACTACAAAGACCAGCAAGAAGAAAAGCGGCGAAGCAGCGTCGAGCAAAAATTAATTCAGCGAATGAATTGCAAATTTCATTCGTTTCGAAATTTAATAATATCACCACCCGTTTTGAGAGTCTTCAGGAAAAAATGCAAGATGCCTAAGTGGCACGAGAGGTAAGAAAAATGGAAAAAGAGAAGACAAGGCAGCTAGAGATTAAAGAGAAACAGGGACTTGAAGAGAAGGAGCTTAAGTTAACAAATCCAAATTCGGCACCAACAGAAGCAGAAAAAGCTTGGATTATTGCACGACAAAATGAGATATTGGAAAAGCTTGGAAAAGCTTGAATTCACAGTCCGCCCCAAAGTTCCCATAGGATTTTGTAATCCTTGGTCTATTTATTTTCTTATTTCAATTTAGGATATTGTATTATTTAAGTTATTTTTAATTATTTTGTTTTTTTTTTTTTTTTTAATCCATAATGGATAATGTATTGTTTTAAGTTTTAATATCAATCGTAGTTTTTTTAATAATTTACAAAAATATTGTTTGATTGAAAAATATTGCCGTTGAGAAAATATTGCCTTTTAGGAAAAGTTTAAAAAAAAAAATTTAATTTTAATTTTTTATTATTATTTTTTTTAAGAGCGAAAATTCGGAGAGTTTGATGAAGTGAATGTTTTTGAACTTAAAACTGCTAATGTGGCTCTTAAAAAAGTTGATGTGGCGTTTTTAAAGAGGCAAAATTCGAAGAGGCCGGTGCAGATGGCCTTAGCAAATAAAAAATAGGCTCTTTACCTTTCACAGAAGCGCATTGTTAAAGAGTCATTTCCCGTATCATTGTACCTTATATTGTTCCTCAAACGAGACTCTGAACCACTTGTTCTTCTCGTGTGAATTCATTTTCCCAATTTGGAACTACACACAGAGTATTTGTGGATTTCACATCAACCCTTCTTCATCGAATGCCCCATTTATCTGGGCAGCTCACCATTGGCAATCAAGTTCCATTTCGAACTCTATAAGCAAATTGGCCATCTCAGCTGCCGTCTACCATATCTGGATGGAAAATAAATTGTCTGATCTTTAGGGGCTCTCTCAAAACTCAACACATGCTTCAATTTGAGATTCGCAAGGCCATCAGAGAATGATTGCTATCTTCCTCCTTCAAAAATGGTCTAGCCGCTCAGCGTGCCCGTCGCGCTTAGGATCTACAGCCATCTTGCATCAGGGCCTTCACCGCGTCCGCCGGCTAACCAGTCTCAGAGCAAATTCATCCATTTACAGGAATGAGGACGTTCCATCAACAACACCGGATTGGCTCTTCAGAAGAGTTGGGGCTTTCGGATCTAATGCCATATGTATTGGTTCTTGAAATAAAAATTGGGCTTTCAGCCAATCTTTTGTTCATGTTAGGCATTTTAGCCCACTCCACTCATTAAGACCCCTATAAATATCGTCTTATATATATATATTGTTTAACCATTCGAACAAACGAAAAAATAAATAAAATAAAAAAATTCGATTCCAACTCACTATTTTTGGAGCCATTAATCGGTGTTTTGGAAAAGATTTGGGAGGCGAGTTATAGCTTGAGTTTTTTATTATTATTTTATAATTAATCGATTTATTACTTGAGTTTTTTTGTTATTACTTTATAATTAATCGATTTATTAAAAATGAAACCAAAAACAAAACATCCTAAGCATACCCAATCAAGGCCTAACAAAGCAGAGAAACCACTCAAAAAGGAAGGTGAATTCCTATGGAATCTAGAACAAGGAATAGATAAACCCTACTTGAGTTGGTTCCGTTTAAACCCCATTGCCTATATATATTTCCCTTAACCCTACTGCCTATATATAGGTGTGAGTTGCTTGAAGAATCAGAATTATGATGGAAAACGCACAGCCACGCATGAAGAAGAGAAAGGTAAATAAAGGGGTGTTTGGGGTTTCAGTTCCACGAGAGATAATCTGGGAGATACTGAAAGAACTTCCTGTGAAAACCTTACTGAGACTCAGGTGTGTTTCCAGGCAGTGGCGCTCCATAATTGACGACGATCCACTCTTCGTTGAGTCGCACCATAATCGGTCCATCACTCGGCCCGACGGCATCAACCTTCTGTTCCTGACAAAAAGAGATTGGAATTGGCAACTCTACTCCCCAGATCCAAAAGGCGGCCCAGCCCTTCACCTTCTATCTGTTCCCATCAATCTAGACGGGGAATTTCCTTTGTATTCCGTCAACGGCTTGATCTGTTTTGGGAACTGCATATGGAACCCTAGCACCAAACAACGCATAGCAGTTCCAGGCGCTAGGATAAGGAGTCCAACTATTGAGATGCGAGGAGAAAATCTATTGATGGTAAAATCCTTGTACCTTCTAGGGTTTGATCCTTCCAGTGGAAAACACAAAGTACTCAACATTAACCAAATTACATCTCAAGACGAAGGTGATGAGGAGGCCCAAACTCAGTTCAAGGTTTTGACTCTCAGTCGCGGCGGCGCCTCCACCACATGGAGAGAATGGAGAGATATTGATGTTGATAGTGATACTGATGATTCTACTGTTGCATTCATGGCGGCAAATAGCTACTATTCACCTGGATCCGGCCCCCCTAAAACAGCCTGTTGTATCAATGGTATTATATATTGCCTAGGATATACGTTCCCCCTAAAACAGCATGTGATACTGGCTTTCGAAGTTGGACCTGAGAGTTTCAAAATTATGCCACTTCCCAAAGGAGCCAAATCAATTTCTTTTTTTACAGTCGAAGTAGGAGGAGGACGTCTGGCTTTGATAAATCATGAGGTGACCAAAATTTGGATACTAGAAGACTATGACAAGCAACTCTGGAACATGCATACACTCGAAGTCAATGGCAAAAGAAAAAGAAGTCCAATACCAATTGGTAGTACTGGTGGTGGTGATCTTTTATTTCATGATTTCAAATCAATGTTTTTCTATTATGATATTGAAAGTAAAAGAATGAGGAGGAAGGACTACTCCGACCTAAAATTACAAGGAAATATGGCATCAGGGTCCGTCTTCATCAAGCATGTGGAAACCTTATTTTGATTGATCACTGCAACACCTTTTATCCATAATAGGTTTTTATTTTGGTTTTATAGTAATTCTTTTTTTGAAGTTTTGGAACATCCAAGAAATTTATTTGCAACATCAATTTTCCTGATGGATTTATTTATTTTTGTTGGTACAAGTCTTTAATATAAGTGATTCATTTTGGCTTTTAGATCTCTATTAATTGCTCTAGAAGGCAATTCAAAATTGATCCCATCCATTATAGAACATGTGGATTTTTGTATAGATGTATATATCAATGCCTAGATATAACATCATTATGTGGACTTTTGTATGGCTCAAAAAAAAAAAATAAAGGAACTATGTAAATTTTATTTTTCTCAACTTAAAAAAGGCGATTCGGTACCTATTTTAATTATTGCTCCCCCTGCAACAATACTATTTGTACGTATTCTGATAAAATTCACAAAAATCAGTTTGTTTTATCAATGATACTGTGTATTGTCTAGGTACGATTGGCAACTCAAACCAATCTGTCCGAGAGAATTAGATTTTGGTTTCAACTGTCAAGGATGCTTGCAATTGTAATTCGTGACATTTCTTCTGCTGAATCTAAAATAAAGGAATTAATAAAAAAAACATGGTTTATAACTAAATGACGTACGAGTAAATAATTCCAAATATTTAGTTCCTCAAGGTGTAAAACTACTGCTACATACAACTCTTAAATCTTAAAAAAAAAAATATTTTGTTTCTTCCAATCAGAAGTGACTGAATATGAAAATATATATAAATTAGTTAAAGTTATTTGATATATTGCCTTTGAATGGATGGTTTAGCTTTTGAATATTTTGTTTGTAGCAATTACAAATTTTGTTTTGGTTGTAATTTCTTTGATATTGGTCTTCCCCGTCTGGGGCTCACTATAAATCCTTCAACCTTATATACAAGCTTATCTTTTAAAAAAAAAAAAAAACTGGTCAAACATCTTTCTACTGCCCAAATTAGTGTCCACAGAGATCAACAATATATGCATGAATTTTTGAATTTTCTTTAGGCTGGTTCCGTTTCTTCCTGGAGTCATCTTGTTTGGATTTCAATATCAAGTCCTCGCCATAAGTTCGTACTATGGTTAGGCCATCTCCAGCGGGCTAGCTTAAGCCCATTTCCAGCGAGCCAAATGGACTATTCCTTCTCCAGCGGGCTAGCTAAAGTGAATGGGCCAGTAGCGATCGGGGGCCGACTCGCGATATTAAGCGAGCCGGCTCGCGATCGCTGCCCATTTTTTTTTTTGTTTTTTCGGCTTTAAAAACGGCGTCGTATTGGCTGCCTATTTTGTCTCATCTGCATAATGGTGGAACACATAATTATTTTAAAAAAAAAAAAAAAAAAAAAAAAGCTAAAAATAGGTTCTTTTGAGCTTTTTTTAGGAAAAAAAAAAAATTAAAACAAAATTCATTAAATAAAAATATATATTATTTAGGCATTGTTTGTTCAAAAAAAAAAAAATTTGGCCCAAAAATAAATTAAAAAACCTATTTTTTTTTTTTTTTTTTTGTTTTTTCCCTTAAAATTTGTTTTTTTTTTTTTTTTTGAAAATTTTTTTGCTTTAAATTTTAAATGTAAGGCCAAATAGTGTATTTGGCCATTAAGGCACTATTTCTACAGTACCAAATAGTGCCTTAACGGCTATAATTTAAAAAAAAAAAAAGTTTAAAAATTCAAATTTTACCCTTTTTTTTTTGTTTTTTCCCTTAAAATTTGATTTTTTATTAATTTTTTTGCTTTAAATTTTAAACGTGTAGGCCAAATAGTGTATGTGGCCGTTAAGGCACTGTTTCTACAGTACCAAATAGTGCCTTAACGGCTATAATTTTGAAAAAAAGTTTAAAAATTCAAATTTTTTAACTTTATTCAAAAAAAATAAATAAATTAAAATTTTTAAAATCTCTAGAAATACCCCAATTCCTACCATCACTCATCACATCTCTATTATCTACCATTCAACTTATTTCTTCTTCTATTTTCTCAATCTTAGCTATTATTTTCAAAGTCATTTCGATTCCATGGATCCTCGACATCCATATCATTACAACACCTAATTCAATCCATCAAACGATGAGTTTTTGCCATTTCCTGAAGAGAATATCAATTATTATGAAGGAGATTCTCAATTTCCTTCTCGTCAACCATCCCAACCTTCTTATCAACCATCCCAAACTTCTCATCAATATTGTGGTACTAGTGTTCCACAATCAAGTAACTCAAAACCCCCGTCAAAACAACCAGCTACTCGACATAATAATTGGACCAAGGCTGAAGATGAAGCTTTATGCTGGGCGTGGTTGTCCATTACCTCTGATGCGATTACGGGGGCAGACCAAAGTAAGCAGAAGTTATGGGAGCGAATTCTGGAACAATATAAACAACATATTGGTGTTCCAACTGAGCGAAATGATGAAGGTTTGATGAATCGTTGGTCAGTGATACAACAAAAAATCAGCAAATTTTCCAGCTGCATGACTACCATAGAAATGAATCGTCCCAGCGGCTTCAGCAGTGATGATATGGTGAGTTATTTATTGTTTAAATATAACTCGTAAATATTTTAAATAGTCAGCTTTTAATTTTTTGTTATTTTTTTTGTGTAGATGATAGCAGCTAAAGACCTGTTTTGTAGCCAAACAGGTGGTGAATTTAAGTTAGAAAGTTAATGGGAGATCTTGAAGCATAACAATAAATGGAATTAACATTGTGCCGAACAAGTAGGAAAAGGAAAAAAGAAAAAAGAGACGAAGAAGAGGAGTGGATTTGACTTTGACATTAATGAGTCTGTTGGGCACTCATTACCATCTACTCCGTCAAGTCATGAAGCCACGACAGATGGAGCTTCAACTGAAGAATCACCACACGTAGGGGAAAATGATTCACCCTGTGTGGAAGAATATCAACTACAAAGACCAGCAAGAAGAAAAGCGGCGAAGCAGCGTCGAGCAAAAATTAATTCAGCGAATGAATTGCAAATTTCATTCGTTTCGAAATTTAATAATATCACCACCCGTTTTGAGAGTCTTCAGGAAAAAATGCAAGATGCCTAAGTGGCACGAGAGGTAAGAAAAATGGAAAAAGAGAAGACAAGGCAGCTAGAGATTAAAGAGAAACAGGGACTTGAAGAGAAGGAGCTTAAGTTAACAAATCCAAATTCGGCACCAACAGAAGCAGAAAAAGCTTGGATTATTGCACGACAAAATGAGATATTGGAAAAGCTTGGAAAAGCTTGAATTCACAGTCCGCCCCAAAGTTCCCATAGGATTTTGTAATCCTTGGTCTATTTATTTTCTTATTTCAATTTAGGATATTGTATTATTTAAGTTATTTTTAATTATTTTGTTTTTTTTTTTTTTTTTAATCCATAATGGATAATGTATTGTTTTAAGTTTTAATATCAATCGTAGTTTTTTTAATAATTTACAAAAA